TACTACTACAAGTTCTCAGAGTAGTATAATTATGGATCAAGGCGCCACGATTGACTGAAGTCAACATTAAAACTGTTTAAAACAACTGATTGTGTGAAAGCAAGATGTCAAAACTCCTGCCGCACAATAATTTACACGGTTTCACTATTTCCCTGAACCTTGAGTGTGGTACAGTGGGAGTTCTGTTTGTGTGTTCATGTCCTAGTGATCGTAGCCTGGCCGTACCATACCACAGTACAAATTTCATTTCGTACCAAGGTCTGGATTTGTTCCATTGACTCCGTCGTTAACAGGTGGGAGGGGTTAACTCCTTTTGCAGATTGAAACAATTGGATCTGAGTTTACTGTGATGCCTGAGTGAGTCGTTAGCATTTAGCCTAGCTTTAGCCATCTCCTTTGCCGCTAACGGAGCCCGTGGGGAGTAGCGCCACAATCTTTTCAGCGATTACATTTACTAAACATTCCTCTTGCTCCTGCTTCAATTTCTTGATAGAACCAGACCGGAACACTTTACTTTCGCATTCTTCGCCAAGCTACAACCTGCCCGTTCGACGCAAACTCTTGACGTCACCCACATCTAACTACAACACCCGCCTCCCGCGCTCTCTGATTGGTCGGATGGAATTCAACCGATTGTAATCTCAAACACAGGGACCAGACCCAGACGTTACAGGCAGGACATGATGATTGAGCGGAGTGTACGGATGGATAAGGCCAGACTATAGTGATCTGTGTCTCTCAGTTAAAAACATATATATATGCAAATTATTTGAGTACATTAAATTCCGACATAAACTTTGGGCCGGCCTTATCATTTACATAATTTACATATAGCTTCGTTTTTCACTTTGAAGTTACTAAGAAATTAAGATGTCAAAATTGCGCGGCTACAGGGTTAATTATTTTGTTTATTTGTATCAGTGGAATAAACTACACATTTAAGGTTTCGCTTATTTATTATTATTTATTATGATATTAATGCCTTGTGTGATAGATAAATAAATAGATAAATAGATAGATAGATAGATTTAAAAGTTCCGTTCGGCAGCGCAGTGATAGGAGCCTTTTATTTATTATTTTTGGTAACACTACCTTATTTTTACTTATATTTCTCCAAAAAACAAACCCAATGACTATGGTTTATGTTTTTATTTTTTTGTGTGGCGTGTCTATTTGTGTAGAAATATTACAAACAGCTTATCTGCACAATAAAAAAAACATTTATTATAAAATCAGACACAGAATGAAGCAAAAGCACGACTTCAGGAAGAGCATCTCAAGTAATAATGAGAGTGAGAAACGCGGTGCATTTAAGAGAACTACTGTATGAATAATATATGGTCAGAGCGCTCTTAAAAGCTTCAGAGAAAGAAAAAGTGGAAAGTACACAAACCAAACATGAACTCTGGGACGGCAGGACAGATTCCAGACGTGAAATTGTAAATGAACCTTAAATACACAGGTGACTGCGGAATGAAAGGAGATTAGATTTCTGCATGGATGACTCCTGCTCAGCGTACAAGTCAGAGCTACTTTGTGCCGCTGCATTGTCCACTGGTTTGCATCAATAATGTTCATGATAATATACTTTGAGCAGACCATCTATCACGGAAAGGGCTTTGGATTGTATGTACAAATGTAAATCAATACACAGAGAAGCTATAGGACAGACAGATCATGCAAACTCAGGTTTACACATTTGGCACATAATGGCTTGGTTTGAGTTGAGGGGGTGGCCAGAGATGCCGCTTAGTCCACTTAGCACCAGTCCCTCTCTGGTCCTCCTGCAGGTGGTGGGTCTACAGGAGGATGGCTGCTCTATGGTACAGCCTTGATCTTTCAGCAGGCTTCAGGCAAAGTGTGTTGCCCAAGGACAATACGCAGTCCTCTGTGTATTTAAGGTTAATTTACAGTGACAGTAGACCTATTAGATAGATAGATAGATAGATAGATAGATAGATCGATAGATAGATAGATGGATAGATACTGCTTTGATCCCCGTAGGAAAAATTCAGGGGTCTAGTAGCAGCAAAAATTAAAAATAAAATGGGTCATTCTAAAAAGCTCACAATAGACATAAATAGTGCAAGACATCTCCTTTGCGGGTTATATAAAGCATCTATCTATCTCTACATAGACAAAAAAATCATGTCTGTGTGAAAACTATGTTCTTGCGTTGGGGCTAAACCAGTGGGGGTGGGTCCCAGCTCAAAAGTGTCCAAAATGAGGTGCGCTGACATGCTGCAATACCACCCCGGGCCTGTGGGGGTGGACCCAGAAGAAGAATTAGCCAATGCTAACATATAGCATTGGCAGACCTCTCAAAAACGTCTTTACAGGATGGACCAAAAGTTGGCTCTTGGCCCAAAGCTCCGTTCCACATGTGTCAATGCTGAAGGGGTGTTTTGGTCCACTCTAGTTTACTTGCTGTGAATTCTCTCGTTCAAATGAATGGAGCTCTCTCCGGCTGACGCATGGACAGATGCGTTTTTTCACAATTTTCTTGTGGGCGGGACCACTCGCGGCCATTTTGGATAGCTCCAGTAGAGCAAATTTTTTGGCCCATTAGTTAGAACGGCAGAGATAGGCGTGACTCTGTCCATTAATATATACAGTCTATGGGCTAAACAAACACTATAAAAGAAGAAGCCACAGGCAGAGGCCGTTTGGAAAATCAGATTTGAGTTTGGAGTCTACAGTCTGTGGTTCAGACGCACAGGTCATGTGACTTACATCTGCTCAGCATCACTCCTCCACTGCACCTGTCGTCTCCCACCTGCAGCCGGTGACGGACAGTGGTGGCAACATGCGTGTTCTCACCCTGAAAGTGATTGGACCTGATTTATTTGACAGGCCTTTAACCCGGCGTGTGCTTGTCCATCAGCATCAGAGGAAAGAACCACCGAGTGAGCAGGACCCTCTCTGTCGTTCAGCCGATGCACCGGCCGAGCCCACTGCACTCCATAAATCCTGCTCAGAGAAGGTTCCAGACCGGGTCAGCGGTGCTTCTGGATCAAAAACATCCCAAAATACACTTTATTCAGCTTTTATCCAAATGCTTTTAAGATAGAGTTTTTACATGAGGGGATTCTCTTTGCCTGTCTGAAAACAATCTCATCAAATATCTATTGTTTTTTTCCTCTTCCCACTCCCTTACAGGCAGAATTATACGGCCATATACTGTACATTTATTGTTTATACTGTTTTTTTTTGTTTATTGTGTGTTTTGTCTGTTTTTTGCATTATATGATTTATATTTTTTAACTGCATTTAATTACCTTGTTTACTCACCTGTGCCATTGCCTGAAATAAATGAAATGAAATGAAAATGAATTGCAAAGATAATAATAATAATAATAATAATGATAATAATGATAATAATGACAATAATAATAATAATAATGTTAATAATAATAATAATGACAATAATAATAATAATGATAATAATGTAAATAATAATAATAATGTTAATAATAATAATAATAATAATAACAATAATAATAATAATAATAATGTTAATACTAATAATAATAATAATAATAATAATAATAATAATAATAATAATAATAATAATAATAATACATCAGTTTTGCGCTTTTCAAAAACTCAAAGACACACAAAACCAAAAATCTAAAAGCAGGAAAGAAGGGTTCAAAGCTGAAACTAAGAAAGATGGAGCATTCTAACTATAACCTTTACTACAGGCCGTAAAAAAACACAAATGTATTGAAGACATCTCTGAATTATAAGTACTGTGTGTGTTAAGCCTACACAAAAACAAATGTCCTCCTTACTCTTTGCAATAATCTCAGTTAGATTTACGAATGATTTTATTTTAGTGTCTGATTTAATCAAAAGTGAAGAATATATAGACATCATGTTTACTTTAACCCTTTAATGGTTTCCTCAACTGTTTGGTAGATCACCTTTTGAGTCTAAACCGCTTGAGGCTTGGAACTGAAATATTCCTCTTTGGGGCATCTCACTTGGTTTTAAGCACTTTTATCGTCAAACTGCATTTCAACCTTTTGGCTATAAATAATAATAATAATAATAATAAAAAATAGGGGTTCAAATTATTTGTGTTATAAATGCTCCTACATCTTAGATAATCCAAAACAAATACATTGCTTTCTTTGATGAGGGAGAGAGGATGAGATATGATAAACTTTATTGATCTCACAAGGGTTAATATATGTGAATAAACACATGCAGATAAAAGGAAATGCGTGAATGATGAAAATATTAATGATAATATATATGAAATATATATATATATATATAATACATATATTAAAACACAACATCGCCATCTGCAGTTTTTAGTGTCAGTGCAGAGAAAATCATTCCTGATGTACGTCTGCCCTCTTGTGGCTCCTATGATATGACAACGTTTGAACTAAAATACATTTCTTAATTCAGCGTAATTTTAAAGGTTGTAGCTTGATTCACTCCGATAAAAATCTGCAGCCTGGTGAAGCCTGTATTTACTTTAGTCAAAATACACATTTTTGTATTCATTCATTTATTCATTTTTTTCAGTATAAAAAAAAAATGTAAATATGCCGGAATATAGCTACCAAAATGCTTTTCATCCGTAGTCCCTAGGCAGGAGAATACAAAGACAAATTGAAAATGTGTGTGAGTGTGTGTGTATATTTGTGTATGTATATGTATTAATGATGTGTCATTTCTTGCACTTTCGTAATTTACACCATTATAAGATATGTTATAGATTTAAATATTACCTTTTGTAAGTCAGAGCCAGCACAAGATGGAGTGGACGTTGCATTGATAATAAATCATAAATAAATAAATAATAAATGGCACAATAACAAAATCAAAAAAATATTATTATTAAATGATAAATAATAAATCCATAAAGAATAAACTAAAAGATAATAATACATATAACACATAAAAAAAAAAAAAAAACTAGCATGGATGGAGGTAGCTAGCTCAGTCACGTGACCGCAGTGTTTACAGACATCCGGAGAAACATGGAGGACTCCTCTGGCAGTAATCCTCAGTCTCTCGGATTCACAGAGAAATTCAAGTCGTGGCTGTCCTGGTCATGGGCCTATGTGTGCTTCCTCTGGCTCGGCATGGTTCTGGTCATGGTGTACGTCCTGTGGAGCCCTCTCAAACTGCACGAAAGTCTGACCTCAGGTGGGAGATCGGAGCTATTGTTAGCACCAGGCTAACGCTGCAGGGATGGATATGGATCAAAAACAATATATATATGCATGGATGATGGAGGGATGTGCAGAAAGTGTGGTGTCAGCTCAGGTTGTTTTGTTGTTTCTACGATAGTGTGAGATCTGTCTGTGTCTCTGGCTCTACAAATATGTCTATGACGATAAATGAAGATGTACAGTAGCTTAGAATACGAACCGAATATTACTCAAGGCAAGGCAGGTTTATATTTATTATTTGTATGTGTACAATTCATGCACAAGGCAACGCAAAGTGCAGAACAAAACAAGATAGAAACAGTCACACAAAGCATTATAAGCTTAAATAATCACTTAAAACAGAGATGTGCACATATAAAATCCCTCAGTTGTAGCAGAAAGATAATTGTTTTTAACCTGGATTTGAACATTGTCAGAGAAGAGGCCTGTCTCACATTTTCAGGAAGATTGTTATAGATTGTACCAGCATGAATCTGAAACACAGCCTCCACATGTTTAGTTCTGACTCTGGGACCAGCAGGAGTCCAGTCCCTGTGCTCATCAGAGTCCCAGCAGGAAGCCAGTCCCTGTGCTCCTCAGAGTCCCAGCAGGAGTCCGGTCCCTGTGCTCCTCAGAGTCCCGGCAGGAGGCCAGTCCCTGTGCTCCTCAGAGTCCCGGCAGGAGTCCGGTCCCTGTGCTCCTCAGAGTCCCGGCAGGAGGCCAGTCCCTGTGCTCCTCAGAGTCCCAGCAGGAGGCCAGTCCCTGTGCTCCTCAGAGTCCCAGCAGGAGTCCGGTCCCTGTGCTCCTCAGAGTCCCGGCAGGAGGCCGGTCCCTGTGCTCCTCAGAGTCCCGGCAGGAGGCCAGTCCCTGTGCTCCTCAGAGTCCCGGCAGGAGGCCGGTCCCTGTGCTCCTCAGAGTCCCAGCAGTAGGCCGGTCCCTGTGCTCCTCAGAGTCCCAGCAGGAGTCCGGTCCCTGTGCTCCTCAGAGTCCCAGCAGGAGTCCGGTCCCTGTGCTCCTCAGAGTCCCTGCAGGAGTCCAGTCCCTGTGCTCCTCAGAGTCCGAGTTGGTTCATATGGGACTAACATGTTGAAGCCATAGAGACCACTATGTTTAATGAGGAGAAAAATATCTATCCTTTTTTAAAGTGAATGCAGCTCGAACAAGGACCTGATATAATATCTGTGATAGTGCAATATCTTTAACTATTGTCAGAATGTGCAATATAGAACCATGTGTGTCACTGCTGCTAACATGTACAGATGCTAACATACTGCTGCTAACATGTACAGGTGTAAACATACTGCTGCTAACATGTACAGGTGTAAACATACTGCTGCTAACATGTACAGGTGTAAACATACTGCTGCTAACATGTACAGGTGTAAACATACTGCTGCTAACATGTACAGATGTAAACATACTGCTGCTAACATGTACAGGTGTAAACATACTGCTGCTAACATGTACAGGTGTAAACATACTGCTGCTAACATGTACAGGTGTAAACATACTGCTGCTAACATGTACAGCTGTGCTTATAAACATTATTATTAATATTATTAAAATGTGTTTTATTGTTTTCAGCGTCTGTGTTTTTGAACACTCTGACTCCCAAGTTCTATGTGGCTCTCACCGGAACCTCTTCACTAATATCTGGACTCATTCTGGTAAGCAGTTTTTTCAATACACATTTTCATAAATGTATTTGTAAAATTCTACAACATGTATGACATTTATCAACATTCATGGACATTGGTCTCTCCATATGGGATCCCTTTCTCATATGGGTCTCCCTCCCTGTGGGTTTCCCTAGTTCTCCTCCAAGGTTTCTCACTTTTTCCCACTGGGTTTTTTAAGAGTTTTTCCTTGTCGATGCAGGAGGGTCTTGTTGGACAGTTAGTGTCCAACAGAAAGGATTGGTGATGATCAGGACACTTTAGCATTCTACAACATGTATGGACATTTTTTTCTGTGTGTGCTTTATACTGTATTCTTCATGTGTTTTAACTGTTGATTCTCTGACCTGTGTTGGTGATTTCAATGGTTTTGTTAAGTCCTCTGAGATGACTTCTGTTGTGACCTAGGGCTATACAAGAATAAATTGTATTGTATTGTGTATTGTATATGGACCAATACATTTGTGTATTTTCTGTGTGTTAACTGTTGATTCTCTGATCTGTGTTGGTGATTTCTATGGTTTTGTGAAGTCTCTGAGATGATACTGTTGTGATTTAGGGAAATGCAAGAATAAATTGTATTGTATTGTATTGTATTGTAGATGAGTATGTAGACTTTAAATTCAAGAAAGCATGATGCATGTGTAGAACCTTTTTGTTAACTTTTTTTCAACCTTTGTCCACGCTTTTATTTTCTCAGATGAATAGTATTGGCTTTTGCAGAGCTGTCCTTGTTGAGCCAGCCAATCGTATTACTTTTCTATAGAAGTGAATTGAATCTTTTACTGGAAATGCTTCATACTTTTTCTATCAGACGCATTTATAGAAATATTCTCTCAATAAGTTGTTGTTGTTGATGTTGTATCGTAAGCCTTCATTTCAACAAACCATATATGTGTCATTTGTGTTCGCTGAGAAGTCTCGACAGTACCCTTTCTTTTGCAGATATTTGAGTGGTGGTATTTCCGTAAATATGGGACCTCTTTTATTGAGCAAGTGTCTGTGAGTCACTTGCGCCCTCTGCTGGGCGGGGTGGAGAGTGGATCCACCACCGGCCTCTTTGCATCTGTGAACGGCGATGCGGAGCCCAGACCCAGTGTCTCAGGTAGCTAATACGTCATGCTGCTTGTCCCAGAATTTGCCAAAGGTATATCCATTAACTTACATTTTTATTTGTAATGTGTGTAGAGTGCAAAGTGTGGAGAAACCCTTTAAATCTCTTCAGAGGAGCAGAGTACAACAGGTGTGTTTTGTGTTTATGCATGCTGTCTGAATACATACACTAAACTAAACGTGTGGTCTTCAGGTACACTTGGGTGACCGGGAAGGAGCCCCTAACCTACTACGATATGAACCTGTCTGCTCAGGACCACCAGACCTTTTTCACAGGAGACACACAGCAGTTGAGACCAGAAGACGCAGGTGAGTGTCTGTTTACCCAGTAGGATACAATCTCCTTAAAGGTACAGTTAGTCCAAATGATAAAACATGGAAAACCAATAACAAATGTGACCTTTTTAAAGGAGTAGTGTGTAAACATGTGGCCAAAAGTGGTACTGCAGCCTCTCCCACTCTCCCTGACTCAGGTTGCCAGATATGCAGACGAATCCAGCTGGGACCATTACAGCTGAATAGACAAGAGTTTTGTCAACAACAAATCTATAACCAACACCTTTTTCACAAAGATAGAAATCCCGGTTTTATTCATGTTTTGTCGTTAATGATTCAGATTCATTTTATTTGCCATTTGTAGTAAAAAAACCACATTGGAATACATTAGCAAAAAGTCTCGTTATGATTCTCAAAT